CATTCCCAGTCCTTATTCAAACCGGAGTTGATTGTGTCTAGTTTGCATATGTAAACCTTATGTAATTACTGAGGTCATGTCCACACTATGGGTGCTACTGCAGCTATGCTATTGTAGTACAGACTCTCTGCTCCCTTCATCCATAGAAGGGCTTTTCCATCAGTTAGTCTGTAATCCAAGACCTGGCCGTGTCTGTGCCTGGGGGGTTAGGTTGGCTTAACTACGAGCAACGTTGGTAGGTTGACCAGGATCTACACAGTATAACTTTATAGAAATAAAAGAAGACAAGGTCCCTGTCCTGATGAGCTTAATTTACATACAGATTTAAATTTTTATTAAAGTTAATGTTTAAAATTAAATATACACAGGTTAAGAGGAAAGGTACTGTACATCTGGGGGTCAGGCTTGAGTTGTGAGGGATTACAGGTATTGGTTGCAAGGATGGAGAGATACATACATAGCACATAACCAGCATAGACCCAGATTGGGGTGCAAGTTTTTAATGTGTCCGTGGCTAAGTGACAAAATATCCAGAGACTCCCCTTCATAGGGGGGAGGGATCGCTCAGTGGTTTGAGCATTGGCCTGCTAAACCAAGGGTTCTGAGTTCAGCCCTTGAGGGGGCCACCTAGGGATCTGGGGCAAAATCAGTACTTGGTCCTGCTAGTGAAGGCAGGGGGCTGGACTCAATGACCTTTCAGGGTCCCTTCCAGCTCTATGAGATAAGTATATCTCCATATATAGTATTACTCTGTCAAGACTATTGGAATTTGCAAATAATTTCCCCACTAGTACTAATAATGCAATCGCAAGTTTAACCCACTGCTTTATGGCATTAGTAAGAAGATATCCTTAGGCTATTAGTACTAGCTGGAGGTCAGCTGTATCATGTCCAGGGATTTAGATGAACTTGCTCCTTATTGTCATTATATTCTCTGATAAATGAAGCTAGTGCTCACTTTTTAAATTTAGATTAGACAAAGTAGAGGGAAAGGGTAAAGAGACTGGTGCCTCTCCATTGAAAATTATTAGTAAATCAGTCTTAATTACTACCAAACAGGTGGAACCACACTAGTTAATGTATCAAAATAATTCTAGGTCTAATACTAGTGCTTCCAATATAATTACATCAAGGATAAATAGTCCAATCTCCAATACCAGATGTTTCCATAGTTATTAGAACTAATCCCATTCACTCTTTACAAAAGCTTTTGTTACAGTAGCAAGGGGCCTTTCTTATTTAGCTGCCTCTGGGATCAGCTAGCTTTAGGAATATCAATGTGACAGTTAAATGTCCATCTCCACAGGTGATTGACACACAAATACAACTCTTGGGACTCAGATCATCTAATTTATCAGGGCTGCAGGAGGTAAGTACAGCATTCAAGGAAGCTGAAGTACTATCTCCATTCAATTTTATTTTGCTCCTGATTAAAATGCATTCTATTTTGAGCTTTGTTTACAGGGGAAAGTTTTACCAGTTGTCAAGTATCAGGGGGTAGCCGTGTTAGTCTGTATCTACAAAAACAACAAAGAGTCTGGTGGCACCTTAAAGACTAACAGATTTATTTATTTCGAAGAAGTGAGGTTTTTACTCACGAAAGCTTATGCCCAAATAAATCTGTTAGTCTTCAAGGTGCCACCAGACTCTTTGTTGTTTTTACCAGTTGGACACTCTTAAGTTATGTTTACACTATGGGTGCTAAGGTGCCATAGTGAAAGTGCCATAGCTATGCTGTTTAAGCACCATAGTGTAGACTCGTAAACCAACAACAGACTGGGTTTTTCTGTTGTTCTAGGAACTTCACTTTCCCAAACAATAGGAACTGGGTCAAGACCAGCATTCTTCCCTCAACCTAGCTGCCTCTACACTGGGGGTGAGGTGGGCATAGTTATGGTATAGTGCTCAGGAAAGTGGACCTTTTACACCTCTGACCACCATAGCTATGTCAACCTAAGTTTTAAGAGTAGGCCAGGCTGTATGCAGATATTTTGGGGATTTCATTTATGTTGATTAGGAAGGTGTTTAAGTTAAGCTGAAAAAGGTACTCCTATACTAGAGTGTCAGGCAGAGGGTTTTACTAGTCTAACTATTTCAGTTTAAATTCAAACCTTAGCTTATACCACCCAAAAAAACCCCAAAACATGTTAATATATTGTAAGGCCTCAGTTCTTTTTATTTCCTTCCACTGCGTGCACTTGAGGAAGGGGAAAGGTGCATAGAGACAGCACCACCCTGCTCCTAGTACTGCTGATTTAAAAGGGTGGCACTGGCAGAGGGAGAATGGTAGGTATTATCACCTTTGCCCTAATACCCTCCCCTCAATTTGTCTTTCTCTTTCCCTAGCGCTAGCCCCCATCGGCAGGGGAGCTGTGCCCATTCGTGTGTTATTTCTGCAGCACAACAGCCATTTTACAAACAATTCCAAGACGGGTGCCTGGGCTGAGGAGCTGCAATCTAAGGGCCTTATCACTGCGCCCCCAAATTCCCCACTGATCTCAGTGGGACAGTTCTGGGCAGTAGGGGAGTGGCGACACATTAATCCCAGTTGAAGGGTTCAAGTGTCTGTGAAGTGCCATCATGGAAGGGCTGAGAGTGAGAGACTCTCCCTCTGCCCCTCGTCCCGCCGCACTTCGGAATTTCTCGGACACGTCTCCAGCCCGCCCGCCCGCCCTTTGTTTACACTAGAAGCTTGGACATCCTCACTCGAAACTGGTTCCCGGCTCCCTCCACGCGCTCGCTAGCGGCGCTGCAGGAACAACCTGTTCGCTGCCTAGTCCCGGCGTTGAGTTTCAGGTGCCGGGGTCACGCGCCGCGAGCGCCCCGCCCGCTGTCGGAGGGGAAGAGACCAGCCAATCGGCGGCTCCCACCCCGCATTCCAGGCAGGGCAGCGGGAGCCGCTGGGCTGGTTTCCACCCGGGCGGGGAGGGAGGAATGGGGGATGATCGCTCCTATCCCCTAGCCCTAGGTGTGCAGGCAGGGCGCATGCACCGGGCCTGGGTGTGGCTGCTTGGCAGGGACGGGGGAGGAGGCGATGCGGGCAGGCAGCTCCTAGTTGCATAGCAGAGAGGTTAAAGAGCGGGGATCTGGCGAGTCCAGCTGGTGCGTGTGTTGCTGGTATTAAGGTAAATGATCTCCTGGAGCTGAGTGCCTGACTGGGTTACAAGCCTCCGAATGGGAATTCGAAGTGGGATGGGGGTGAGAGTAGTAGAGTGTGTCCAGTTAGTAGTGTTGTTCGCTTTGTGTAGGTGGTTGGGGGGAGGAGTTTTCCTCCTTCCCCCAAACTCATCAATCTGGAAATTTAGGGGACTTTAGCTTCTTATTAAAAGTTTTCGTATATATTTATGCTTATGGCTTGTAATTTGAAATATCGAAATAAGACAAAAAGTTGATACTCTCAGGCTCTGTGGTACTAATATGCATTGCTCATTATTCTAGCCAGATCATGCGCAGATCTCACTTATTAAATGCTCAGTTGCATATTTAAACTCAGCTCTGTGTTAGTTGGGAGGTCTCTCCGTGACACCATGATGACTCTTCAGTTATATCTTTTGCAAGTTAGCCTGCCTCATTGTTCTGGGGCTATACGCTATAATTAGGTTTTAGTCTCAATTATTGCTCTCTGATATGAGTGTTCTCTCAAAGAGTAATACTGGGAGGGAAGAATCAATCATATGATTTTAATATGTAGTTTCCACTGAAGTTGTAACCACCACATCCCTTGGGAGCAGTCAATAAGTATTTCCTGGGTGTCCCATTAAAAAATGGGTCTTTTCTAACAAGTTGCTTCCTTAAGATCCATTTTCTTCTACCTCAGGAGTGAAAGTTCCACCAGGGCATTCAGTCTGTTATGAATGTTGTCTGCTCTGTAAAGACATTTTCAGTATGCATGGGAACACATGCATTAAATTCTTCTTTGCCTCTCCAAGAAACTCTGCTTCTCAAAGAAGCACTAATGTCTTCTATTCTTTCCTTTATCTTCACTGTAGTATCACCTCAAGGCTACACTGAAGCAGATTACATTTTGGTTGAAATAGCTGTACTCTGTGTAACTAAGTTTGTGAAATGTTTTGGTGATGTTTATTGAACTGCTTTTCCTATCCCAGCAATTAATGAGGATACCCACTACAGGGACTGAAATCATTATTGTTTCAAACCATAATTTTAAAAGGATAATTCTAAAGAGAGCTCTTGGCATTCCACTCTACAGATGATGACTCTAAAACCAAGAAACTCCACCATCAAAAACATATTTGCTATATTCAGTACTTGCTGTCACTGCAGGCAAGGTAGGGTGGGGATAAAATTGTCACTCTTTTGAATGCGTCAATAACAAAAGTTTCCCAGACAGTATTGCCAAGTCCTATTGCTCTTTTCTTTTGCTGTAGTTCATGGGGGATCTGACTGACAAAGGTCTTTTCTCACTCTTGTTTAGAAAAACATACAATTTAATTCAACATTTGGGGATAGTCTAGTAGATGCACTCTACCAATGGTCATCTGAAATGTTGTACTGCTTTGTGTCAATATGTAAACAAACTGGGTAAAGGCAAAACTAATGCACCCCTCCAAAAAAGAAGAAAATGTAGATGATCATGAAGAATTCTCCATGGTGTCACTACTTGAGAGATCGATCAAGCTGTTAAATATTTCAAGAGCTTTTTGGGAGAAATTGTAGTGTTAAGATCAACCACTGTATAAAAAAGTGTAAGATCATCATAGAATATCAGGGCTGAAAGGGACCTAAGGAGGTCATCTAGTCCAATCCCCTGCTCAAAACAGGCCCAATCCTCAGACAGATTTTTGCCCCAGATCCCTAAATGGCACTCTCAAGGATTGAACTCACAACCCTAGGTTTAGCAAGCCAATGCTCAAACCTCTGAGCTATCCCTCCCCCTATCTAGGGGAGTCTCTGGATATTTTGGGAGAATAGAAGGAATTGTTTGTTTGTGGTTGGTGAATTTAAAGCTCTAATTGTTGAAAGTCTTGACAAAAAAAAATTGATTTGTCTACTTGTCTTTTTGTTATTATTCAATATTTTATAGCTATCTGTACTACTTAATAGTAAAGTGATCATACTAGCTATAATGTCATTAAGCTGTTTAGATTGCTTTGTTACTAAGCCTGTCACTTTTTTTTCTAGTTACCAAAAATAAGTCTGAATTTAGCGGCCAAGCACTTCAACTATGTCATCCAGACCTTTTGAAAGTCCTCCACCTTATCGACCAGATGAATTGTAAATATCCTCTTTTCTGCTTTGGTTACCAATTTAATTTACCCCAGATAAGCAGTGTACATAGTTGGAGTTCATATCTTTAACAGCTCATTTATACAACTGTTAACAGTAGCTGAGTCAACTATCATCAGGTTGCTGCTGTTAGACCAAGGGTGGGCAAACTTTTTGGCCTGATGGCCACATCAGGGAATAGAAATTGTATGGTGGGCCATGAATGCTCACAAAATTGGGGTTGGAGTGTAGGAGGGGGTAAGGGCTCTGGTTGAGGGTCTGGGCTCTGGGGTGGGGCTGGGGATGAGGAGTTCAGGGTGTAGGAGGGTGCTCTGGGCTGGGACTGAGGAGTTCGGAGGGGGATCAGGGCTGGGGTAGGAGTGCAGAAAGGAGTGCAGGTTCCCTGCTGGGGGTGCGGGCTCTGGGGTGGGGCTGGAGATGAGAGGTTTGGGGTGCAGGAGGCTGCTCCATTCTGGGATCGAGGGTTTGGTGAGCGGGAGGGGGATCAGGGCTGGTGCAGGGGGTTGGGGCGTGGGGAGAGGCTCGGGTGCAGGCTCTGAGCTGCGCTTACCTCAAGCGGCTCCCCTGGAAGCAGTGCCATGTCCTTTTTCCGGCTCCTACGCGTGGAATGGGGCTGACCTGTGTGGTGCGGCCCCCAATCCGGCGCCCTGGCTGGAGCTCGCGAGCCGGCTTAAAACAGCTTGTGGGCCAGATCCAGCTCGCAGGCCATAGTTTGCCCACCCCTGTGTTAGACTGTACCTTGCTGCTTATTTAATGAAAAAGCAAACATCTATCTAACACATGGGGCACATGTAGGGTGTTCTAATAGCTTGTTTTCCACTTTACAAGATGTTTTTTGTCTCTTAGATCTGCAAACTAATCAAATATAAAATTTAAACTGTCAATTAGGCATTGCTGTGCTCAGTGTTGCAACAAGTAACTGACTATCAATGGGGTTTAGGCTCCTAAGTGCCTAAATTCCTTTTGAAAATGAGATTTAGGCTTCTAAATCAGTTAGGCATTGTTGAGTGCCATTCCATCTAAATACCTTTACAAATGTGGGCCTTACTATTTTGTATAATAAATACTGCAAATTATCACTATTAAATATCCTTTCCAAGTTTTCCAGAGCACCTATTACTGTAATCTCTAAATGCCAATGGTCAGAGTGGATTAATTTCAACCTTCTTCTAATATTATTTGTAGCTAACCATCGTAAAAGCGTCTGAGAGAATAGAATTCTGTCTTTTTGGAGGAATATATGCATTCCATTTAAATTTAGGAGGTCTTCTTTAAAAACTGGCTAATTCTGACCATTTCCTGAATTAGTCTGTTCCTGGTAACTTCATAATTCCATTGCATGAGTGTCATGCACTACGATTTTTTTGTAAGATAGTTTTTCATAGCTGGCTAAAAACTTGAGTTGATAATGTTTTCATCTTATTGCAGCAAACCTTCTCACTATGCACCAAGCAACATTACATATGCTGAGGAGATGCGCTCTCAGCCCATGTACTCTCAACCAGCATATTCCTACTATCCAGAGGATGAAGTGCAACACTTCTACAAATGGACTTCCCCTCCAGGAATAATAAAGATCATGTCAGTTCTCATTATAGTGATGTGTGTAGGCATCTTTGCTTGTGTTGCTTCCACATTGCCTTGGGATCTAGAATTCTATGGAAGTTCCTCTTTGGGATCTGGTGTAGGATATCCTGGATATGGTGGTTTTGGAGGCAGTTACAGTGGCAGTTACGGTTATGGCTCCGGATATGGATATGGTGGAGCCTATGGCATTGGAGGAAATTACATTGAGCCCCGAGCTGCTAAAGGCTTCATACTTGCAATGTCAGCTTTTTGCTTCATTGCTGGAATGGCGATTTTTATAATAAGTGTTACCAACTCAAGCATGTCCAGAACAAGAAGATATTATCTAATTGTGATAATAGTGAGTGCTATCCTTGGCTTCTTGGTATTCATTGCATCCATAGTGTATGTACTGGCAGTAAACCCAACTGCACAAGCTTCAGGATCAGTGTTCTACAATCAACTTGTTGCTCTGTGCAGCCAATATTATGCCTCTACAAATACAGGAATCTTTGTGAATCAATACTTGTATCACTACTGTGTGGTAGAGCCTCAAGAGGTATGTATGCACTAATGTTTGTTTTGTTTTGTTTTCCCTTTAGCTAACTAAATCGTACATCTAACACTTCTGAGTACAAAAGTCATGTACAAAATCCATAGCTAATCTAGCTAAACTTTCTCTGCTCATTAAACCAACTCCTTCAAATTCTACCTTACCCACTGCACAGAGTGTTTCTAAAATAAACGAAGAGCCTGAAGAACTTTTATATGCTTCCAGGAATATAGTAAACTTCATGAGTAGGGCCCTACTAAATTCATGGTCCATTTTGGTCCATTTCACAGCCATAGGATTTAAAAAATCATAAATTTAATCATTTCAGCTATTTAAATCTGAAATTTCATGGTGGTGTAATTGTAGAGGTCCTGACCCAAAAAAGGAATTGTGGGGAGGTTGCAAGACTGGGGGCATTGCAGTACTGCTGGTGGCGGTGCTGCCTTCAGAGCTGAGCAGCTGGAGAGCGGCAGGAGCTG